ACCATCATAATACATCTACTTCCTTTGCTATTTTCCACTTACTTTAGTATGTTTGTTGATGGTTAAATCTGTTCCGCACCTTTGTAGCTCATATTCGATCTGTACCCTGACAACGTCGTTCATCATCACATCCACAAATTCTCGTTGCATCCCGGTCAATGGTGCACCCGAGTCCCACTCATTTGTCACCATATTATGGAGTGGCACTTGCTAGACCGATCTTTACGACAATTTGGACGTGAGCAATGCTTACCATTAGATGTCCCTGAAAGTCAGAAGGCGTACCACGGGAAATATGGTCGACAATAAAATCGGAACCCAAGCGTTAACTTTTGAAATGCCATCTACAATAAAATGGTAACTAAATTAATACCATCAAAATCACAATAAAAAATAAACTTACGAAGTAACGTTAATCGCAAAAACTCAAAAAAGTAAGGTGCACAACAGAAATTGAAATGCAATAAGGAGAGGGGTGAAGAGCTGAGGCTTTCGGAGTTGCCTTTTATAGGAATTTTTTTGACTCAAAACCGCTGAAGGAGGGGGCGGTTTTAGTCTGCCATGCAACCCTACGTCTGCACCCCCTGCATGCCGACATGTCGAATGTCGGGGGAATGGGGACTGCACACAAACCACTGGGGGAGGGAATGGTTTGTGTATCAACACAATAAACCGCATGTGGAATTAACGGTTTCTGTTGTCGACGTAGAACCGCTCCTTCAAGAGACGGTTTGTTTTAGGGCAGCCAATGAACCGCCTCTTCAGGAGGCGTTTTGTTCAAAAAAATTAAAACGCCTCCTCACCATGCGCTTATCCCACAAACCGCGACCTCACCATGCGGTTCATATGCAAATCGCCTACTTGGTTGGCTATTTTCAAATAATGGTGGTAGATTTGAAATATTTTCGGTTTGAATGGTATATTTATAATTTTTTTATACAGTGGTAGATTTGAATTTTCCCATGAGCAGCTAAGAAAGTGTAAATTATAGAATGGCTAGGTTCGAATTTGAATAAATTATTGCAAGAGAAAAAGAAATGCATTGACCCCATAACTCTAGTAAATATGGTGCTAACGGCTAACACCCATTAGTATTAGCACCATTCCAATATTATTCATGAATGATATTATAATAACTACATTTTTTTTAGATCCTTCTTCCGCCCCTTCCTTTCGTTGCTTCATGTCTTCCGCCCTTCGCCCCACTTTCACTTTTTTCTTTGGGTAAAAAAACGAGCAGGTTACTGGTTACTTAATTTTTTATTTTACCATTATAAAATTTTATTACACTATTACAAATTTTATTTATTATTTGTCATCCTTTGTAATGTTTCAAATTTGTTTCGTGAGGTTTATGGTGTGGTTTCTCGTATTTTTGGTTTATTTTATAAGAGTTCCTCGTGTGGTTGCACTATTTCTTATATGTTTCAGGAAACTTGTGATATCTTTTATGCAATTTCTATTATGCTTCAGCGAACTTGTGAAATGCTTTATGAGGTTTTTGGTATGCTTAAGCGAACTTGTGGTCTGCTTTATGAAGTTTCAGGTTTGTTTCAAAGAACTTTTGGTATGCTTTATGAGTTTTTTGGTATACTTCAGGAAACTTGTGGTATGCTTTATAGGATTTTTATCTGCTTCTGTGAACTTTTTTGTCTGTTTCTGTGAACTTGTGGTATCCTTAAAGAATTTAGTGGTGTGGTAAAATTTTGGTATGCTTTATAAGATTTTTGCTGTAGTTTATTTATTTGATTGCGGTGTGGTTTGTTATTTTTCAGCAATTTGTGGTATCCTCGTGCATGTTTTCCCTATAGAAATTTGCATGAATATGTCAACTCCTTTAAAATAAAAATATCATTATATATATATATATATATATATATATATATATATATATATATAGGCAAAGGCTAGTGTACACCTGACGTACACGGTACATCTGTGTTCACACCTAACAATTAATTATTAAATATAATTAAATTAATTACTAAATATAATTAAATTAATTACTAATACTAATTATAATTACAATCATACCAATTAATTAATTGTTATTTACATTTTAATCCAGCGATTCTTATCCTTCGTTATTTTAAGTTTAGGGATTTGCTCCCGGCCACGTTCACCATAAAACTCTACCACTCTAGATTGCTAAATCCAAATTACTATCCATCACCATGGAATTAAAAACAACTTAACAACATATTACACGATGCTTTTTCATACAACTGTTCATCATTTAATCACAACTCACTCTTAATTGCATTATAGAAATACATGCGTCGCCTCGTCGGCAACAGTGACGACTCCAACCCCGCACATCCCAGTGATGGTCCCATTGAGAAGAGTGAATCATCCAGAAACCTAATTTGTTTATTGCAAGGCCCTAATACAGTTATACAGATCTTTGTATCTTTTATAGATATTCAGGTGTCTGGGTTAGTGAAACACACTCCTCTCCCTCGCATCGCCGGCGGGAATCCAAAGCAAAGGCCGATCCGTTACTAGTTCCAGATTGAGAGCTGAGCAATCGGGCTGCGCTCGGCAACGATTTCATCATCGAGAAGAGTGAACCATTAGACAAGACTGAGAACACTAATCCGTTTATTGCAAGCCGTAACATCGATGTTTGGATCTTTCTTTTTCAAGTTTTTCTTCCATTGTCGGTAGGGAAGAGCGAGAGGATCCGATCTGCCGATGTTGAATTAAGAAAGTAGGAATTAAAAGAAGGAAGGTCGGTACGACTCATATAAAAAAATAGTGGATCTTACTGTAATTATAATAGTTAGTAACAATTATTTTAATTTTAATTCATATTAATTAACAAATGTGAACACAGGTGTATAGCATACGCCAGGTGTATGCTAGCCTGAACCATATATATATATATATATATATTTTTTTTTTTTTGCTAAAACTAATGTTAGTATCATGCTAACAAATCGAGTGTTAGCACTCTAAACCAGCCACTCTTCAATATCAAACAATTGATTTCATTTTCTTATAAAAAATAATTGCTTTAATTTCAGTTAACCCGCTAGAAGAAAAATACCACAAGCCTTTGCTGATTCTCATATTCTTAAAAGCAGTCGCCGATCAACCTTTTGCAAAGCTTTTAGAAAAAGTTGCATGCAGAAAAAAAAGATAGTCGAGACTCGAGAGGATAAGAAATGTGAACCTCGCCGTCTTGCCGCTGACATGTTTCCAAATCCATGGAGAATGGTGTGGAGAAGAAATCTGCCATAGTCTCAACTCAAGTAATGCGGTGGGTTTGGGAGAGATTTGTTTAAATTAAACAATCCTCCTCTCTATTTTTAATTATTCAAATTCATACCCGTTCTATATTTAACGTGGGAAAAGATTTACAAATCCATCATCATCCCTGTGGTTTTCGGGTACACGTGGGTAATATACGTCCATACAACGAACATTATAATACTAAAATTTACATGTAAATTTTAAATTATAACACTAAACACACCTACTATATTATAAAGTCGACAAAGTGACAATTAGTCTTAGTAAGGTTCAAAGTATCTTAGTATGGCATGAGTTTGATTTTCATTCCTAAACTCAAATTTCACCTATGGGTAATTTTAGAACTTTGCAACGGTGACTTGCAAGTCACCATTACTTGGACAAAACGGTCGACCTCTTCACTAATATGGTCGACCTATTTGGACAAAATGGTCGACCTCTTTGTTGGAATGGTCGACCAGATGTACTTTTTTCTATTTTACGATTTTCAACAAGCGGTCGACCTCTTCTACTAAAAGGTCGACCACTTTACAAGAAAACGATCTACCAGTTCCATCAAGTGGTCTACCTCTTTTACAAAGTGGTCCACCGCTTTCAATAACCGGTCGACCTGATGAACCATTACTAGTGATACAATCATAAATAATTAGTGTCCAATAATAATAGATATGCTTGCTAGTATAGGTGTCAAAACAGAACCCAACCCGACTAACCCGACGCGCAACCCAAATTGACTAAAAGTCAATGACCCGCAATCTGCCCGACCTGCAACCCGATTGACTCGTAACCCAAATAACCCTCAACCCGAACTCGATTGATTCACAACCCGATTAACCCATAACCCGATTGACCCGAACCCGGTTGGCCCAAATCCGGCTAACTCGTAACCCGTTCGATTGACCCGAATAATTACAATATCATATAAAATTTCAAAATGAAGATTATATGTTGTAAGACTAAGTAAAACTATTTTTCATTTTATAAAGGAAAGTTCAAAAAATTATATTGAGTTGAAATTATGTATTTTTAATAAAATAAAGAAGAGAACGAAATAAGGGGAAGTTTTGATGCTTTGTTTTTTAGGAAGAGAAAAAAGTGAGATATTTTGATTTTTTCAACTTTTTAGGGAAAAAAGAAAAGGGAAATTTTGTGTTTAAATTTTTGGGAAAAAAAAGAATGGGGAGTTTTGGTGTTTTGGTTTATAGGAAGAGAGAGAAATGGAAAATATTGGTGTTTTCAACTCTTTGGAGAAAAAAGAAGAGTAAAATTTGGTGCTTCAAGTTTTGGGAAAAGAAAAAAGGGGAAATTTTGGTTCTTTGGTTTATAGGAAGAGAAAGAAGTGGGAAATTTCGATGTTTTTAACTTTTTGAGAAAAAAAGAAGAGAGAAATTTGATGCTTTTGATTTATAGGAAGAGAAAAGGGTGAGTATTTTGATGTTTTAGATTTATGGAAAGAAAAATTAGAATTTTTTTTTTGTGTTTTCATTTTTTTAAGAAAAAGAAGAGAGAAAGCTTATCACAATGTTTATATATGATGATTTACGAGTTTAATAAAAGCAAAATACACTTGTATAGCCAAAACTTTCACGTTTGTGCCAATAATAGCCAAATTTGGAGAAATACCACTTGTAGCCACTCCCGTCTAAATCTTTAACGGTGTCATTAACAGGCTGACTGGACTAACAACAATGGTTGATATGACATATTTTATTAAAAAATAATGACAGGTGGAAATTATTAAATTTTTTATCCTTTAATTTTCATTAAATTAAAAATTATAAAAGAAATCTCCTAACGAGAGATTGAATATGTTCCACCAAGCTCTACGTCTTCCCACCTCTCCCTTTCTTCCTCCTAAGTCCTAACCTAAGCTGCCCTCGCCAAAATCTCTTCATCTCACCCCCTCCGTTCTACTTCCGCCACTATACGACGGTGTTCCTAGCTGGGAAGAAGAGTGGACGGGAGGACTACGTTCAGTCGAGGGTCCCAAATCCATTGCCACCCTCAAAATCCGACGTTCCCTCAACCACCGCCCCCAATCCCTCTTCCATTGCCGGTTGTTGAAGGGGTTTGTCGAGGAGCTACTTGGACCAGAGCAAGCGCAGTATCCATCTTGCGCATGGCGGTGAGGAAGAGTTCTTGACGACGAAGGAGGCAGCGACGCCGAGCAACCGGTGGGAGACGAATGGATGTCGGGGACTGGGTGACTAAATTCAGTCGAACAAGGTGGTGGAGGAAAGTGAAGTTTGGGGGAAATTGAATCTAGTTTAGGGTCTCTAGGGGGTTGAATTTGGTTTTGGTTAGATTGTTTTTGTGAATTAGGATTTTGGTTGCAAATTTGTGGTTTTAGGGGAAATTTTGGAGCGCCATTCATGACGGGAGGGTTCTTCCGCACATGCAACTTGGTGGCGATGGTGGTGATTACGATTGAAGCTGGGATAGTAGCTGGTTAGTGGAAAAGGGGATATGAAGATGGAACAAAGTATAGGGATGAGGACGCTGCTTCCAAAAACCCATATTCCATAAGCCGACGCAGCTTCTGGGTTCTTTTTTTCCTTCTTCTAGTTTCGATGATTGCTTTCCAAAATCAAAAAGTTGGGGAAGATGGCTGCAGAAGAAGTTATCGGGGAAGAAGATTCACCGCTTCGATCGGAAAGGGGTAGACGATTCGCGTGGGAAATGGAAAAGTTAGGGAAGAACCCTAAGATCGAATTTGGGGAAAAGTTGGGGAAGAAGGGTTGTGTAGATGGGGTATAATGAGGGTAAATTTTTTTAAATTTATTATTTATAAATATTAAATAATTGAAATATGTGATGTGTCACTATTTTCTTACGTGGCGCTGAAGTGTTCGCTGAGTTGGCACGTAGTTAGCAAACTGTCAAATAAGTTGACGGTGTGAATAACATCGTCAAATTATCTAACGGAAATGGCTATATTTTTCATACAACAATTTTAACAACTGGTATTAAGTGGTATTTCTCTAAATTTGACTATTGGCACAAAAGCGAAAATTTTGACTATACAAGTGTATTTTGCCTTTAATAAATTAGCAATTTCATTATCACAATGTTTACATATGATGATATAGGAGTGTAACATTTAGTGACTAAAATATTGTCTATACTCTATAACAAACATTACTGTAGCTTTTAGGCATGAGTAATTTGATATAGTAGATTTGAGAACATGTAAAAAGTTATCATATCTCAAATGCACATTATTTTACATTTAGGTTGGAAACTTAATCTTACTCACTAATTCTCCCACCTCATTTTCATTTTACACGGGGGAGGAACTTTCCCTCTCTCATTTTGATATCTTCATCCCAACTTTTCACTTTTCTAAAGTTTCCCTCCCCACTTTTCATTCTTTTCATTTTGCTTTCCCTCTATAATTTGTTCCTACCAAAATAAAAATCTAATGAGGAAAAATTTCGACCCACCAAAGTTTCGATTCCTTTAATATTACGCGCGATTTCCATCTACCATAAACTGTTGTTTATAATATTAGTGCATATGGATATAAATTAGGATTATTGATTGACAACGACCTGCAAAATTTTTCCATGAACCTTGATTCATATATTGTTTGTTAAACAAAAAGTTTCTTGCACTTTTAGGTCGACCTTATGTAGGATTAGGTTGACCTAATCTGCACTTTTAGGTCGACCTTATATGATTAGGTCAACCTAATATGCCGTTTCAGTTTTGTGAGGTTCAACGACGCGGTTGACCTTTTATAGCAAATGGTCAACCTCTTTGGGAAGCGATGTGGGTGGTTCTTTTGCTCGTACAAATTACGTTTCAAACCAACAGAATCAGTCATAAATATGATAACAAGAACTCATAGCTTCGTAACATACCAACTAAACAAACTAACAAGAAATACAATAAAACACAAATCATAATTGTTCACACATAACTAAAATCTAAAACCACATAATATCAATCCACAATCGTTTTTTACACTTAACAAAAAAAAAACACAATCTAAAATCGCCGAGTTCCTACTCATGTCCCCTCTCTCCCTCATCAACTTTTTCTTCTTTGGTGTTGCTAGCATTATGGTAGTCGGAAGTTACGGTGACATGCATGTATCTTCCACTGAAAGATCGAAACTCATCTCGCATCTAATTCACGGTCACCTGCAATGTGCTCATCTGGGTGGTCATTTGCCTCATGTAGTCGTATATGTCAGTCATCTGGGTAGAAATCAGTCCCATGTAGTCGTACATGCCATCCATGCGCTTCCCAAGAGGTCGACCATTTGCTATAAAAGGTCAACCGCGTCGTTGAACCTCACAAAATTGAAACGACATATTAGGTCGACCTAATCCTATATAAGGTCGACCTAAAAGTGTATATTAGGTCGACCTAATCCTATATAAGGTCAACCTAAAATTGCATATAAGGTCGACCTAAAAGTACAAGTTACGGTGACATGCATGTCACCATAGGCATACGTTTATACTACACTGAGAATTAAGCTTATAATTAATTATATATATAATTCAGGTCTTTTTTGTTACTCAATTTTGCTTCCCGTTGCATTGCCGCCAAATTTTCTTTTTGCTTGATATATATTTAGGGCTGTCAATTTGGTTTGGTTTGGTTAACCAAACCATTAAGTATGAAAAACCAAAAACCAAAAACCAAATCCCAAAAACCAAAACCAAAACCATTAAGGCGCTTATTGGTTTTTGGCAACCAAAAACCAATAAGGGCCTTAATGGTTTTGGTTTTGGTTTGGATAACCAAAAAATCAATATGTACTCATACACTCATATTTATTCCTATTTCCCTCATTTTTATTGAATAAATGTCATAATAATGGTAAATGGCCATAACAAATTATTGGTTGGCATGCGTGTCAAAAGAAACAAAAAAAAAATATTTGTTGATAAATAATTTTATTCTTATTGGTTTCTTAATGGTTTCTATTGGTTTTTCGGTTTTAACCAAACCAAAACCATTAAGTTGCTTATTGGTTTAAAACCAAAAAACTGAAACCATTAGCTTTCCAATTGGTTTGGTTTCGGTTAAAACCAAAAAACCAAAACCAAATGGACAGCCCTATATATATTGCCACCCAACTTCTTCATTCCCACTCCAAATGGCGGCCCAATTTTGTTTAGATTGATCTATATCACCGCCCAATTTTCGTTTGGATTAATCTATATTGCCGCCCAAAAATGTTGAGATAAGAAAAAAAAAATTTCTTCTTTGTTTTTAGAGTGGTGTTTTGTTTGGTTTGGTAATAGTGTCTATTGGTTGCAAATGTTGATATCACTATTACTATTATCTAGTGTACTTTACCAATTATGATTAATTAAATGACAAGTTTGCAAATCATACAAATTGATTCAACATTTTGACTAGTTTTTTTTTAATTAGTTATATATATGAGGTAGAAATAAGTTGGTTAAAAATTATAAAAAATATTTTAAATTAGTGTAATAAAATGTGTAAGTTTAAGCGAGTAAGGAGTAAGTAACTCGATGCGCTGTCTCGAACAACCTGCGACCAGATCCGCCCGCAACCCGCACGACCCGAAGCTTGATTAACCCGGAACCCAATTTGCCCGCAACGTGATTGACCCAAACCCGTAACCCGACTAACCCACAACTAGATTGAATCGGAACCCGATTGAACCAAATCGATGAACCCACAACCCGACGAACTCGGAACTCGACTAACTCGCAACCCGATTGAACCCTCCCGAACCCACCCGATTGACACCTATACTTGCTAGTAAGAGATTGAAAATTAGTACAAAGGCTGCAAGCATAGATGACAAGTTTCTCGAGTGATTGTTCTCCTGTAGAATTGGAAAATATTCTGCATATTTATTTCTTGTATTTGACTTACTCTATAGATACTTTCATCTTTCCTTTAAATTCTAAGTTTGCTTGTTTTTTATCCTATCATTGTCTTGTGACCGGTTGCCTCAAGTGGTAGGCCAAGATGTAGACCATTTTCTTGGAAATTGATCTACCACTTGGTGGAAGAGGTCGACCACTTGAAGGTAAGTGTGTCGTCAGGTTGACCAGTTTCCGGAAGCAATAGACCGGTTGTTCAAGTGGTGGACCACTTGGTGGAAGTTGTAGACCATTTCCTTGGAAAGTGGTCGACCATTTGGTGAAAGAGGTCGACCACTTGAAAAGTAAGTGTGTCATCAGGTCGACCAATTTTCGAAAGCGATTGACCGGTTGACTCAAGTGGTAGACCACGTGGTGAGAGAGGTCAACCATTTTCTTTGAAAGTGGTAGACCACTTAATGGAAGAGGTCGGCCGTTCTCTCCAAGTTATGATGACTTGCAAGTCACCATAGGCATACCCATAATTTTATCCAAACCCAAACAGACTAATTGATTACGGGTAGGGTATCAGAGAAGTATATATATGGGCTTGGAAATTTGTAGATGAGTTTGGGTAGAGTATGGTTACTGCTTCCATAATCTAAATGAGTATCGTTGCCCATTAACTTGGTGTTTTAACTACACATATAAAAAATGGACCTATTTGTAAATTTAAAAAGCTTAGGAATCAAAATGTAATACATAAAAATGTTAGGTACTAAAATCTAATTTTCCATCAATATTTTGAAGACTCATAAAAAAAATCTCGGTATTAAATCTAATGACTTACTGAGTTTGAGTATCAAGCTGTAATTTACATATGGGTATGGATACTAACCCAAATTCATGAATTAAAAAACTCAATCGAAATAAATGAATATGAAACTCATCAAACTCTACACATTTATTTATCATGTATTTTGATAATAAAATACCACGAGTATGAACAAAAATTGCTATCCCTACACAACTACACCTCATGTGTTGAACCAAAGCTTTAGTCTGAGATCTAAGAAGTAGGGGTGGCTATACGGTCCGATCTGGTTAAATTGGGCCAAATTGATCCGGTCCCAGTCCGGTCTTTTCGGGAATATAAGAACCAAAGATTGGATTGGATACAGTCTGGTCTTGATCCGGTCCGGTCTTGACCCGGTCCGGTCCCAATTTTATCTTGATTTTAGGTGTTGGGGGTCTCTTATCCGGTCTTTATCCGGTTTTTTACCTAAAATCTAAGCCCGAATATGAGATTGCATTGTTTGCTATCCGGTCCCAGTCCGGTCCCGGTTCGGATTATACGATCCGGTTTCGGGTAAAACCAAACAGTCCGGGACCAAATAGCCAACCCTACTAAAAAGGGCCTCACCCAATCTCTCAACTCAGTACATTTACCGAAAACGCTAACACTACTAGCTATCATCGGCCGAGCACTTCTACTATGCTATATAGCATTGGTGCTTTAATGTACAACTCAAAGTTGTACCATAACATTAAATGTATAAGTTTAGGTTGTACCATAAAGCAATTTGTACCATTATGTTATGGTACAACTTTACAACTTGAAATTGTACCATCACATAAAGGTACAAGTTCAAGTTGTACCGTAAAAGAATTTACACAAAAAGTATAGGTACAATATGAAGTTGTACCATAACGTAAATGAACAATTTTAAATTGTATCATAAAAATAAAAACCTATAACACCAATACTATGTAGCATTGTAAAATTTCTCATCATAGGCCTAATCTTATATACCAAACCATCCACCCAACAATCTGAGCCCCTAGGCACTGGCTTGTCATGGTGCCGCAGTTCATAGAATTTGGGGGCCCTAAAAACTTGAAAAGAAGACAATAATTGGTGGGAGAAAGAACAGTATGGGAAGGAAACAAGATAAAGACACAGCCAGCGGAAAGGGGCCAATTATTTGCTTCGACATCATTTAGGAATCTGCAATCATAGCTCCACTCGTGGATCATACTGCTCTACTTAGGGGTGAACAAACACACCCGCAAACCGATCCACCTGTCCAATCCGACCCAACTCACCCGTATTTATCGTTAAATCGAAGGTTTTGGGTTGGGTGAGAGTTTTCTTTTGTACAACCCGCCTCTTTTGGGTTGGATTTGGATTTCGGATTACACAACCCGTAGAACCTAACGCAACCCGTGTTCCAATTATTGGTATGAGTTCATATCCAAAAAAATATTTATGTCATATATAGTCATACTTATGAGAAAATTAAGATATTTCGCCATGTTTTTCTCTTAAAGTCTCTCTAATCTAATGCATTCTTCGACTTAAAGTTTAGATATATATTTAATATAGCTATGATTCACGTAATTTTTTTTTCTTGTGTACAATTTTAAAAGAATATCATATTATGGATGCGTTCATTTGTAACCTTTTTAGCCTATTTCAACAAATGTCGTGAAAAAAAAAAACTAGACATAAGTTGAAGTAAATCAAGTTTTATTAAAATTCAAACAATATTTGTGAATTTTGATACCTTTCACCTCGGTTTATTCGTTTGAATTTTTAATTTGTTATAAAATATTTTTATGATGTAGAATAATTACATATTTTGTGTTGGGTTGGGTTTTTACTTAAAAATATCGCCACCCTGACCCAACCCAATTAGAAACAAACCGTAGGGTTTAGATTTTTTTGGGTGGGTTTGGATTTAATATTTCCCAAACTGTAGTGCATGGATTGGGTGATTAAAATGCCTAAACCCGGACCACCCGACCCATGTACACCCCTAGCTCTACTCTTTCTATATTAAAAAGAAAAAATAAAATAAAAAGTCATTTCCCTTTCTTTCCCTTGGAACTATAGCCCAGCTTGCAGAAATTGCATTTATGTCTATGTCCCCAGAAGCCTTCTCTCTTTTCCCTTTTCCATCGAGCACAAAGAACGGATTTTTGACTGCTACTGTGGGCATCTGAGGCAATAAGCCTAAGAGTTACATTTTGCCTCTCCAGTCTCCATGAATAAAACCGCATGGATACGCGATTCCAGCAAACGGTGTCTCAGCCATACAACCGAGCGCCTCCATCTGAATCGAATGAGTGGCGCGCGGTTCTGTCTGTGCACAGGCTAAAGAGCTTCTGCCCCTTAGCCAAGTTTCACACGAGACTGTTTAGAGATGAACAACATGGACAATTGGACATCCAAATTAACTCATTGCCAATCTACGCCTTGGCTTAAGGGAAAAAAAAAAAAAAGTAGACATGACTTTCACAGCACTTTGAAGTGAGTCCATCTGGTGAACCAAGTAGCTGGCAACACAGGCATATGATCTATCCAACAACGGTAACCGTATACACAGTTGGGGTCAGTTTCAGAGTTTGATTCGTTCAAACGAAAAAAGGGAAGAAGGATGAATAGGCCAAACAGTTAATAGAGGAAAGGGAGGCATTAAACCTGCCTACAGGAAGAAAAAGCAATGAAAAAGGAGATGATTCCTGTGAAAGATGCCTCCATGAGGCAAAGCACCAACTGGCCCTCTCCATCTCAAAGCATCTCTACTTTCCCCTATCAGACTCTGATCTTTTTCACAAGTTCAAATCCCCCAAAGGGTACCAAAACAACTCAAAGAGAATTCATCTTGGTTTTTAGCCTGAGATAAAAACAGTTAACAGTTCAGAAAAGTAGTACAAACAAGCCTAGAAGTTATAGATGCATTTGAACTTTGAAGGACAAAAGGGTAGTACGTGAATAAGGGGGGTGAAAAAATAATAGTGTGTGCGGAAGAGATATTACTGAGTGACAAACTGATTGGTAAATAATAGCAAGCATCCTGACCTGATGGGTACGACTCTGACAAGTTATTAGTGGACAGGTTCTTAAGGGCTCCACCCTCCTACCCTTGTGCAATCGTTAGTGTTTAGGCCCATGTGTCTATTAATTGCAAACCTAAAAACAAACACTGCCACATTAATTTATGCTATGCTAGCGACCCATATTTCTTCACATCACACCAGCGGCAAAACTAATGGCTAATGGCTGGTGTGGCGGCTCCAAGAGCAGCATGAGGGACCATTCTGCAAAATTTCTACCTCTTTTCCCGTTTTCCTAACTAGGGAGCATTCAAGTTTTACTGGGCGGGAATGGAATATGAACATAGTGATATGGATTGAGATCAGAGTATGTGGCAATGATACTGTAAGAGTTTGTTACAAGCAGACATTGATGGTGATGAGGAAGTGAGAAGATGGCCTACCTTGAATTTCGAAGGTGGTCCTCTGAATTCTGATGATCAGTAGGAAGGTCAGATCTACTGAAAGATTGGTGCTGGTGATGGCTGACTTTTTTTTTTCTCTTGAGAAACTCGTTGGCGATGTAACTGTGTCGCTGCTGCTGAAAGGTACTCATCCTTGTCAAGATCGACTTGCTGGTGGAGAAATCGATCACAAGAGCTCACTCTGTAATTCTCAGCTTCCTGCATATGCTTACACAACTTTGTTTTTTGGTTCGAGAAATAAAACAACCCAGAATGAAGGTTAACTTGCTAAGCTAGCTACCAATGACCCACTTTTTGCAAAGAAAAGAGCCGGATGATTTGACACAGAATGAGAAATGATATTCATCGTCGGTGATACAAATGATCATATAAGGTTTGCAAATGCTGCCATCATTTTGATCTTATTCTTTTATACTTTGTTTCCGGTTTCTAGGTGGCTATAACTGGGGCAGAGCAGGTCAGCCGGTTGGTCCAATCATCTAACTAAGATAAACGGTAGATGATAGCTTGGTGGTGGTACTCTAGTGATCCCCAATGCTTAAACGACCTTCTTCACTTGGAAATAGCTGGGGCGATCCTTGTGCGCTGCATCTATGTGGCCTGCAGATGCCACAGCTACTGAAACTCCTTTATGTTTCACAGCATCGACTACATCTGCAAATTCCCTGAAGTTCTTCAAGCTGTGGACAGTGAAAGGGAAAGAAGAAGGATTATGTATTGCAAATCGGAGTCCTCCAAAACTCAAAAAACATAAAATCTTGGACGACCACAAGGATGCCAAAGGAAGAACTTATTTGGTTATCATAATGCTCTTCCATTTTGTATTGTGCTTACCGCAGCCTGTTGGTTATGACTAATGAGGGCAGCACTTGTCTTACTTGGAAAAATTACAATTTAGCAACAATCATATTGCAAGCATTGCCTAACAAATGCAAAGGCCAGTTATCTGGTTTATGATATAGGAGGCCGATGAATCCTTTACCTAGTTGAGAGTATCTCTTCCCGCCTCTGTTGCCTTTCTTCCTCAGTGAAACCTCGCAGGTATCTCAGCATGCTGAAACATTCGAGAATAGATTAAATGAATAAAGTTACCTACAAATTGGACTAAGTTAATACAGAGTTCAACAAAAAAGCATCTAGATATCATTTTCCTGGGAGAAGAGAAACCACCATAAAATCTCAAGTAGGCCTTTTCAGTTGGAAACTGGAAACAAAGATGACCAACCAACCTGTTATAACCTTTGGCATCCGGTAGCTGGTACGAGTCCACATCTCCAATGGTACCAATAATGGATTTTGTGAGAGTATCATTATCAAGTTCTAACTCACGTAGAAAATCCCCAGTTGCATCATACACATCTAGTGTGTTCAGCAAATTGGGGTCTCTCCAAGATACGAAGTAATAGACTCCTGAAACGTCAAACATCAAATAACATATTAAACCAAGCATGTATAAAAATAGCAAATAACTCTATGAAGCTGCTATCTGTTCCCAATGCTTAGTGCAAAATAGCAAGGTGTTTTACCTGAGTAAGGATTAAATTGACTCATTCCTCCATATGCTCCGCCCATCAGACGAACCCGATCCCATAACCATGTATTAGAAATGTGGTTTGAGATAACATATACACTCCCATGAAGTTGATAACCAGCTTCATAGAGGTTAGCAGCTTTGCCAACATAATTAACCTGGAAAAAGCTTGCAGGTCTAAGTTTCTGGAGATGCAGGATACCAAAATAACCATCTAATCAAAATATGCTTTCACCTGCGAAGGTATCACAATTGCTTCATTTCCTGGAGGAAGTCGAGCACTCCAAGAAGCAGTTGCCGCCGGTGAGCTGCTTGGAAGACAATCAAGGAACTTGCTAACATACTTCTCAGAGGCTGTGAGATTCTTCCCATCAGCAGTCAAATTTACCAAGCAGCCATCCTTCGACAACAAGGATGTGCGGATTTCCTCTAGTGAAGCAGAAATTCCATCCCAATCTTGATCAACTCTCTTTTCCAGATCTTGCAGGAACTCAAGATAACTATACGTAACAAATCATAATGTCAGCATGTTTAGCAACGTAGAGAGCTTTTCTAAGGATTGGAGCTTCAAAATATTTTGTTACAATCAATTTGGAGAGTGTAACAACAGATTATAGGGTTTAGAGATTTCATTAGTGAGAATTGAGGTAAATACTGAACCTGACACCACCCATTTGTTCTGAAATCCAGCCGGCAGTAGTAAATTTCGCACCCAGCCTTGACGCAGCAATTGAATGACCACCATCACTTAAGCTGCTCTGTAAATTATTGAAAAGCATTGCATTAAATTGTAAGCCATAAATTTAACAGCATATATGATTTGTTATCAAGATTAGGATCAGTTAAGCACCTCCATTCCTGCTTTGCTCTGTGAAACAAATTGCTTGAATCGCTGCTGGTCTGAGAATTGTACTTCTTGAAGAACACATTTTACCTACAGTCAATAACAAATATCAATCTCAGTATCAAAAGCAAACTGCTTTATCAGATTCAATGTGCAGGGCAAGGAATGGAAGAACACATAACCATCACTATTATGTTAATATGTTGTAGACATGTGCAGCATGGCAGTAAAGAGAAGCTACCAGAACTCCAGAGGCCCTTGGTGATACAAATTTATATAGGGAAGCACCCACAACCAAAGATCACGAATCTTGAGTATTATAGAAGTACATTGAGATTTATCATCTGAGTATTAACATTTGGAACCAGCTTGTTTTCTTCTAATTATTTGGAAGGAGAGTGAGATAATAAAGACACATAAAAACTAATAATCATGCACAGAATGCACTGCCCAGCAACTGGAGGCCAGAGGGACAGGAATACAAACAGATAAGCAAGCTAACTTGATCATCAATACCCAGGAAATTTTCCCTGGCAAATGAGTCAAGTTGACAAACACAGCACCTTATGAGTTCATATCCAAAATAAAAGCAATGCATATGCTGAATGTACAATCATCATAATAATGAGTGATAGTGATATCTAAGCACTCTTGATATTCTCAATTGATTGTCATAGTTTACTTATAAAAGCGACTGGTGAAAACCCCAGTTTGAGATTACCAGATTAAATAAGTCTTCAGCCCGCCCTGTCATGGCCTTCCCTCGAACGATAATATGACTACATAGATCTGTTGAGCCTCGGACAGAGGATGTGAAGGGATAAACAGATATACCCCCGGTTTTCCTTCCAATCAGCTGATTAAGTTGAACAAAACTCATATCCTTTGTACCCATCTCAAGCAGTGATTGGCTGTTAAAAGCACAAACTGCAGTTAGAACAAGAGTCGAGGCTTCTTCTATTCATAAATTCTCATTTCCTTAATAAAGAATAAACGAATCAAGGCTGAAATGGAAATTGATATGGGATTCAGGTGACATTTTAGAAACAAACAGCTCCCACAAGAGATATAGAAGAGGGTAAAAATTATCTTTCAGAAAAAAAGGAAAAGATTCAGACCAAGGACATTCAGGCATATGACCATCTTCCCTTCTCTATAAGGACAAATGATATTTAGGTTCTCATGTTGGTTGAATACTAGCAAGACACCCAAGGGGTATCTATGTCAATTTAGTACAATTATATTATCACAACACGAAACTGCAGTGTGAGTGAAAACTTATATTTCACCATTCAAGAACAATACAACGGCTGGCGGTAAGTGAAAGGCATAACACATAAAAAAATTCATCAACCTTTACTTAACAACCAAGGTTCCTTTACCATTGAACATGTATCAAGTGCTACAGAAACAACATAATAGAACCTTAGGTGTCTGATCATTATGAGATTTTATATTTCCGGGAAGATCTGTAACTGTAAGAGTTATAGTGAAACTATATAACTAAGACATCTTGAAGTAGAGAAAAAGGAGCAGAAATCCTCTAAGTTTAGATTCAGGAAAATAAGTTTCAAACTACTAAATAAAACCAACAATATGTGGTTGGTCAGTGGAGAAAAAGAGAGCATACCATGTGTTTAGTTCCACGAATACCAAACAGTTCGATGTGGAGTAAAAATGATATAGAAGCCAAGAAAATGGCCATAGGATCTCAAATGCTGATGTCTTACCAAAAAAGTGGTACCAAAGGAAGAAGTTCCTGCTTCAGTGATCTCATATCAAATACTACTTCCGCATAAAGGACATCATTTGTAAACAGGTCATGCTGCAATACTTTTGATCCATTAATCTCCCCAACCTAAACGTATTAAGATTATTCGTATAAGAAAACTTCCAGTCCCAAAATGGAAAACAAGAGTATGCACAACAATATATGCGGTAATCCAACCTCAATTGGAGTGGGAGTGGTTCGTTTAGGAATATCATCGAGATGAAGGCATGGAATAGTTTTTAAGACTTCCGGGGGGTCTGGAGTTTCCTGCTTCAGTTTTAACTCCTGTGTTGCACGGGTTAGCTCAGCAAGATCTTCTTCTGTCATACTTGCTTTCAACTTCTCCAATGTTTCTCTCTCTAAGGAATCATCACGAGAAGCTTTCTCTGGATCAGGCTGAAACAGTAGACCTGTTATATCTTCATAATATCAAGAAATTACCAAACTAAATCAAGAGTGGAAATATAAAACCCACCTGCATTTCCACAATGGCGCGATGATGATTGTTCAGGATAAATTTCTCGATTAAAGGAGAGAAAACAGCTTTAGAGCCTTCCTTGGCTATTCTAGCTTTCAGTGCCATCAATGGTTTCTCATATTTTAAAGGCCCAAAGGGATCCAAACCATAAATCCATTTTCCCTGTATAATTAGACAAGTAGACTTAGCATATCTATAGGGTATGAAGACGTTTGGCATAAAGAAACCCAGAGTATCTGAATCCGCTTACAATGGATTGGAACATCAGTGCTAAGCCACGAGGAAATGATCCAGTGTTGTTTTCTCGGAGATGAAACTCTATCGTGTTCATGGATGCCTCCAGAGCTTCTGTCTCAAAACCTTCTTCACTTAATTTTTTAAGTGTAGTCAAAATCAAATCTTCTACCTTCTGAATATCATCTTCGGAAACTCCTTTCAACCCAATACTGAATTGAGGTTGAAGTAGGTCATCCTCCATACCACCACCAACAATGTCATCTCCCAAACCACTGTCAAGCAATATCTTCATCAATGGAGAAGCAGGAGTTCCCAACAAAAGATGATCCAAAAATCCAAGTGCAAGCTCAGTCTCCAAGTCCAGTGTCTTATCAGAAAGCAACCAGTTAAGGCACACCATATGCTTCTTTTTCAAATCACCACCATCGCCAGCTGGATACTTATGCACTACCCTTACTGGCTTTGAGAAAAGCCTCTGAGGCTCAATTGTTGATTCACTTGGAGATGAGCTTGACCCAAACATCTCTAGATATTCTGCACGTGTGAGGGAGAGCACATCACAAAAGTTACAGGAAAATTGAAAACTGTCTTGAATAGTCTTGAATTCAAGCGATATGCAGAGCATTTCAAATACCATACCATTAGGGTCACCAACCTCAGAAGCTTAAAGTCTCATCACAACTCACAATAGAGAGTTCAAGGTTCAAAAGGAAACGAGAGGTAAAAGGAAATGAAGCCTTTCGCCAGCACTATCAACTTAATTATTCGTTGCTTCAGCCAGAAATGAGATTCAAAAGTCAGGAGGTTCATTTAGATACTCCATTCACATCATCTTTGCACAAAAATAGTATCTCTTTCTCATGTATCAGTTTATATGACTTTCTCAAAACAACACCTACAATGAAGAGCTTGAACATGCAGCATGCATTAACGGAACTTTATATAATCTGTAATAAGTCAATAAATACCACTCAGGATTCGCAGTCGCTCGGATGGATCGTCATCTCCATAAAACCATATCCTTGCATTGCTAGGGTGGTAATATTTACGATGAAACTCCTGCAATTTGTTGATTGAAAGATCAGAGTTATTGCACTATGATTTGTCATGCAGCAGTGCGTGTAATTCCAAGAGCTCTCAAATAATATTTGAATGCATCAAATCTTTTCTAAACTGACGCTGTAAAGATTCTCTATATAAAAAAAGGGTCAACAAATTGCTCCTATACATTCCTGCAGAAAATGATTGTAAACCTTGTGGGGTTTCAATACCCAACACTGGAAAATTGCACCAACATTGCACCCAGTAGTAGTAACCAGGAACTCTGTCAACAGACCTTGAATTCTTCAAATGTGAGTTTGGGTATAACTGTGGGGTCCCCTCCACTGTCAACTCCATAGGTATTGTCGGGAAACACAGCCTGAACAGAAAGAAAAAAGGTACTTTATAATAGAACATCCCGAATGTTGGTTAGTGAACTATGGACTCAGGATGACTTTGGCCCAGTCTCATACTCCAATGGAAATATACAAGTAACAACTAGTACTTGTGATCATAAGTATGACTATAGGAGGATGTTAAATGGAGTAGTGTTTAGTCACTGTTTTGCTCAAAGTTATTCAAGAACCCGAAACATATACCCCAGGACCATAACATTACATGTCAGAAATGATGATATCGTTTCAGGTGAGTGGTTGAACAGGGAGAGTGAGGCAGTGAGAAGATTGAGAATATCACAAACTTAAATAAATAAGAGGACTTACACGTCGAACAGCCCGGCCCAGAACATTTTCTGGCTGGGAGTAGACACCTTTCATCTCGTTAAAGACGACACCTGAGGATGATTCAGGTACATACATGTAAGACAAATCGCCTTTGGTAGGATGAAATGGTGGCTAGTTAATTTTTTTTCTTTCTGAAAAATAACCTTTATAAGTGATATCTTTGGAAGGATCATCCAGCTCATAATGCCAGCCCTCCTGCTGAAAGATTAGTTCATCCTCCACACATTTAGGGAAGAAGACAGCATCAAGATATACATCAACTAGATTGTAGAAATCCTGTTTTCACATCAAGATCGAGGGAAAATTAGTGAGCAAAATGGGGAAAAGGATGGACAAACAAATTCTGAATTCGCCCTTAAGAAGTACCTACCTTTGTATTTGTGGAAGCAATCGGGTAGCAGGTTCTATCAGGAAAGGTAATTGCATTAAGATATGTATTCAAACTTCCTTTAATTAACTCTGCAAACGGCTCTTTCAAAGGATATTTTCTTGACCCACATAGTACGCTATGTTCCAGTATGTGTGGAATCCCAGTTGAATCCTTCCTGCATTATAGAATTAGTAGTTGAGAACTACAGAAAAGGTCTTCTATGCAACTGAACTTCAATACTCCCAAAAATTATCACCAACAAACCATTCTTCTCTACATAGTAAATCAGCAAGTTCTAGTTCATTGAACTTTAGCAGCTTTCTCTGTTATACAGTACGGGAAGTTAATACACTTACGGAGGTGTACGAAGCACAATGCCAAAGACCTTATTCTCATCATCGTTTGACACTGACATAACTTCACAACCAGTCTTCTTATGCTTGAAGAGCACAGCCTTCGATTTACACTCTTCAATGAACTGTTCCGAAACCTTCTCAAATCCCAGCTTCTCGGCAACCTCATCAGAAACTCCAACATCTACAGCAGCCAAAAAACAACAACAATAACTCTAGTTAACTGCAATCAAAGCGCACAGCCAAGTCGGCCGAAAAGTTACAATAGCTATACTGAAATGCGCAGGCACACCTGAAGTTCTAATTCGAACAGCTTAACTCTAAACGTACTGTTATCAAATTGAGAATAGGACGAATCAAATAAGCTACTGCTAAGTTCAGAGACCGACCCGAACAAGAGACTAAGCTATCATTTCATGTTAATGATAACTTACGATAAAAATCCCTCTAGCAACAGAGAGATAGAGGAGCGGGGAGTACCTGACGAGAACTGAGGAGCTGGTTGTGTTGCTACGGCACGAGCGGAGAGAGTGGAGAAATGTTTATCGGAGTGAAGTGGAGAAGACGACGGTGACGAGGAAGAAGCAACGACGCGTAGCAATCTGGAGTGACGGCGGTGGAGGGAGCGGCGGCTGATGCCGAGGATTGGGCGGCGGAGTAGGCGGGAGCTGGTAGAAGAAGCGGAAGATAAGGAGGAAGCATAGCGGGAGGAGAAGGGAGCTGAAGCGGGAAGACGAACAGAAAAAGACCTGCCCGGGAAATAGAAGAATCGGTTGGAAGCTAGAGAGGAACAGCGAAGAAGAGCAGCCCTCTCCATTGTTGTCTTTGACGCAGAGGGGGAGCGCTCTGCGGAAGGGCTATAATGGTCGAGTTTTGGAGATGGACACGGGGAGCAGAAAATGGGGGAAAATCAGCTTTGGTTTAATTGCTTTTCGATATAAATTAAGCAGAAAAGACGTAATTGTGAGTGGGTGAGTGAGGGCGTGGTCCGTGGAGAAGACGTCATACGTAGAAGGCTCAACCGTTATGGAATTTAATGGTCAGATTATCTCTTTAGAGTTTAGACTGGTCAACAGTTGACGAGTTTCACGAGTTGAATAATGATGAATTTAAACTCGATTTGTTAATCGAGTTGATAAACAAATCAAACTTTTTTTGAATCAAACAAGTTTAATCGAGTCGATTACCGAGCCACTAGCGAATAGTTCGGCTCATTAATAGCTCTAACTACAACCCAAAATGAAATGCAAAATGAATGGCTAAAAAGTGCAAAAGGTTTCGCTTGAATTGGATAGGAACAAAAGAAAGTATCAGTTAGAGATAGCAATGGGTCGGATACGGTACGGATACCCTATATCCGTTGCCCGCCATTCCTGCCCGTGGGTTGTACCCGTGCCCGGCCCACTAAGCTAAACGGGCATAAAATGTAGACCAAGCCCAAACCCAGTCGGACATCGGTTAGCCCACGGGTAAGGGCCTGCCCGTCAACACCTAATAAAAATCATCAACTAACCTAACCTGTAGATATTAAATGAACTCAAAGATGAGGGGAAAACAAAAACATAATGCATTCCACTATTCCAGCATTATTCACGAATTGCAAACCCAAAACCTGTCTAGAAATCGAGGATTCTAACCTTAAAATACCACATAACAGAACTTGTGAAAACTAAGAACTAAAGTCTTAAAGTTTGAATTCTGAAACTCCCACCAACAATCATCTGCAATTCTCAGCTAATAATCAAACAAACCCAGAACCATGATAGTTCAAACACAATCAAAAAGCCAAAAAGAAATAAGCACTAGCAGCACTGCAGCAACCAGCAAGCCAGCAACAATCATTCTTCAAGTCACCAAAACATCCAACAACATAGGATCAGTCCAGCAACCCATATCAGCCCAGCAGCAACCCAACATCAACCCAGCAGCAACCCAACAAACCAACATGGACAAAATCTGCAATATGACAGTTTCATTAAACATTCAACACTTGATTCTGATGCATTTTTCGTATAGGAAACTTAGAGCTTAAAAGTTAAAACACAAACCATGAGCTAGTCCAGCAGGTTGACCTCAGCAGCAACATCATCTTCATCTCCTCTCTGCTCCCCCTGAGTTCCAGCTCCATCTGTTACAAAGCAATGTATTTAGTAAAGAACATAAACCTAAGTTAGTAAACCAATCACAGCCATACAAAGACTTACCCGTCCTCTCTTCCACCGTGGCATCATCCATTGCCATAGTCGAGAACACCCCCCTCCAGCGCTTTCACGTCCGAGGCAGTCACTACAAAAGAATGGAAGAATTAGTTGACTTGTAAAGAATTAAAAAAATTTAAACCATGGCAGGAATTAAACAAGCAGAATACCTTTGTTATCGTCCTGAATCCAAGTCCTTAGCATCATCATGACTTCCACTGTCATAGGATCAAGTCTGCTCCGATGGGGATCAAGCAGTCTCCCACCAGAATTAAATGCAGATTCAGATGCAACACTCGTAATAGGTACAGTAAGTAAATCCCTTGCAATTTATTGCAAAATGGGATACTTGGTACCATTGAATTTCCACCAACCCAACAAATCGAAGTCCGGTGTTCTAGGATGAACATACTCAGCTAGATAGTGATCTAACTCGGTAGTAACCACAGTTGTTCTAGTTTTCTCTCTTTGGCTCACATATAGATCAAAATCCAGATCAGTGGCCAAAGAACAAGCATTCAAACTAGAAGGAACAGCCGAGTTTTTGGATGATTTCCTTTGGTATTCAACAACCAAGTCAGCAAGCACATATCTAACCCTTTCAGAAACAAGATCGGTACTAGTAATACCAAATTTATCAGCATAGTACCCAATAATTTCCAACTTATAATGTGGATCCAACACAACAGCAACGACCAACAACAAGTGAATATGATCCCAATATTTGGCAAACTTAGTCCACATACTCTCAGCCATAGAGACAATCATCAGATTAGGGTCACTTAACCATTCCAACAATCGTAACCTCAAGTCACACTTTAGGAAAAAACTTATTCGCTGTTGGGTAGTTTGAACCAGAAAAAATCATAGTTATGTCCTTGAAAACATCAAGTTTCTCTACCAAAATAGCAGCAAACTCCCACTACTCATTAGTAGGCAGAGAGTCATAATGATGTTCTCTTATTTTCAATAAAGAAAACACATCCTTATACGGGATAGCACTAGAAAGCATCTCGTAGGTGGAATTCCAGCGAGTGGGACAATCTAAGACCAATTTCTTAGAAACAGCCAGTTTAAGTTGTTGGGCAGTAACATGAAAAGACTCCACCCTCCTAGGTGTGCATGTCCAGAAAACCACACTTTCTCTTATTTGATCTATTCCATCTTTCAGAACATCAAGACCATCCCTCACAATCAAATTAAGGATGTGAGTAGAGCATCTCATATGGAGAAGTGATCCATCCCTAATTAGATTAGACAAAACCAGCCTTTTTTTAACTAGGTTGATCATTGAATCATTGGTAGTACAATTGTCAAGTGTTATTGTTGATAATTTATTATCAATATTCCATGATTGGAGGCATTGAGCTAGCTTTACAGCCAACCTCTCACTAGTGTGTGGGGTAGGGAGGTAACCAAACATCAAAAGATGGTTTCTCAGATTCCAAGAGTTATCGATATAGTGGCCGGTAACAGCCATGTAGGCCTTTTTTTTGGTTTGTGGCAGTCCACATGTCAGTGGTGACAACTATCCTCCCTTTATTTTCATCAATGAACTTTTGAAACTTAGACCTCTCTAACCCATAAATAGCGACTATGTCCTTTTTTATGGTATTTTTGGCTGGGACTTTGAAGAGAGGGTTTAAGGTGCAACAAAACCGTTTGAAGTAAAGGTGCTCAACAATAGAAAGGGGATACTCATGCACCAAGATCATGGTGCAGAGCTCCTTTCTAGACACCTCACTAATAAATTGAGTGGTACTCATATCAGCTGTCCCATTGGCACTATAGTTAGCACCAAGAACTCTTTGACTCCCATCGTGTATTTTTTTATGGACACATTTGTTCCTATGAGTCCTAAGATGTGAAGTACCATTACTAGATTTCCCAGCCAAGACCTTTTTACAATAGTTGCATTTAGCTTTCAATACCCCAGAAACCATCATCCTAGTGAAGTGAGGCCAGACATATGATTTTAATGACCTACTAGCACCTAAGGGATGTTGAGGAAGAACATCTTCCTCAACATTATTAGGATTACCAGGAGGAGGGCAACAACATCATTAGCAGGTGCATTCTCAACGTGTTGGGGTTCCATCTGTTTAAGAGAAAGAAATAAATAAATATGTTTTAGAAAGATGTCCACTGTTCAGTTGTGTTCTCATAATTCAATTCAGATTAGCAGATTACGTATTGAGAAGTTTACTTGATTCAAGTAGTTTAGGATTACATATTAAAAGTTTACTTGATTCGAGTAGCATTACAACAGATTAGTGACTCACTTCTACTGTCACCCTAGGAATTGGCCAAGTGGAACCACTTCCTAAAGCGTAGTATAGCGGGTTTAGGTTTAATTATCAACCCGGGTCCTAGATTTGATGACTACTCAGTGAATTCTTGTTATCTAGCAATGAAACTTTAATGCAGGTTTAAACTAACAAACTAACAAAGCAAGTAAACTGTTGTATTCAGGTTAAGAGAGGTCACCCGGATATGGTTCCCCCTAGACTGCAGTTAAGCCGGATTGTAATTACCAAGTTCAGTTTCTATGATAGTTATACTGTGGAAGGTTCTTAAACAGCCGGAAGTCTCGACTAAAGGTCTTCAGACGCTCTCAATCTGAGTCTCTAGCGGGCGACTAACCTCCACCGGAGTAAACAGATTGAGGCCTTAACAAACAAAACCTCCACTACCGGAGTAAATCCGGTACAGAATAGTGAGTTGGCTCCTCGACTAAAGTCACCAACTCCCTACCTTCAATCAAGGATGCTCTATCAACCTAGGCAAATATTCTCATTCTAGGTTAAAGCAGAAACAACAGGAATTTGATCAGAAATGGCATGTACAGGCGTGACAGCAATCATAGCAGAGTGATCAAATTCAGTCACAGAAAAAGTAGCTTGTTCATTCCCAGCACGCAATATCAGTTTACCATCATGCACATCAATAAGTGCCTTGGCGGTGGCAAGAAACGGTCTACCTAGAATCAAAGACACATCCACATCCTCATGTATATCAAGAATAACAAAATCAATAGGATATGTGAATGCACCGACACTGACAAGCAGATCCTCTATGATTCCCCTAGGATGCACAATGGAACGATCAGCTAGCTGAATGCTCATCCTAGTAGGGCTAAGTTCACCTAGGTCTAGCTTTTTATACAACTTATATGGCATGACGTTTATGCTAGCGCCTAGGTCCGCCAAGGACTTGCCTACATGCATGCTGCCAATAGTAAGAGGGATAGTAAAACTCCCTGGATCCTTGCGCTTTTCGGGCAGCTTGTTCTGCAGGATAGCAGAACACTCCTCGCTCAGCAACACTGTCGAAAGATCCCCAAGTTTCTTCTTGTCGGTGAGGAGGTCTTTCATGAACTTGGCATACTTGGACATCTTCGACAGTGCCTCCACGAACGGTATGCTGATGTTGAGCTGCTTCAACATTGCCATAAACTTGGCAAACTCAGTCTCCAGCTTGTCTTTGTGTAGGCGAGTGGGGAAGGGAAGCTGGGGCACATGCTCCTTAACCACTGGTTGTGGCTTGGGAGCAGGGGCTTCCTTCTCCACCCGCACTTCTACATCGTCGGCTGGAAGTGCTAAAGCAGGTAGTGGTTCCT